CGACAAGATAATCTTGTTCAGTTCCATAAGAACTCGTGGGACTAAGAAGTAGGATGTTTTGCTTAATCAAGTCATAGACGATTTCTGTAATGTTAGATACTTCTTGCAAATGAAAGAAATATACAATTTATTAATAAATTATCAATATGTTATTTAAAAAATCACTTTAAAAAATTAATCTACGGCTAAATCATTCTACTCTGTGTGATATAAATGGACAAAAGTATGACTTGAGTGTACGACATTTAAGTAATGTGACGAATAGATAGAACTCATATTAAACAAGGATGGATTCATTCCACACAACCTAAAAAGAAAAATGTCTGAAAATGTTTGGAAAAGACAAGCAAGTTATATTTAGAACGCTTGCGTATGTTGCTCTCATTTTTTTGTATGGTTGTGTAGTCTCTGATTTTCACGTTGATCCATTTTAAAAAATCACGTATAAAAAAATGTAAGACAACCTCTAGAAATTTGCTTATATGTTTACAAATTAGATCGTCAAGAGAAAAATTAAAAAAATTGTTTACAAAGATAGAGGACTAAGAAAAATGAGAAAATCTTAAAGTTTATCTAGTAAATAAAGTACAACGGAACTTTACTGGATAAGTTTCGTAAGCTGATTTCTGTCTTCCACACACTACTTAATTTTGTCTTTTTCATTTGATTTTGCTTATTTATAAAAGTAAACATTGTCTAAATATTTTTCTCGGAAACCTATTTGTTATTGAAAGTTTAAAAGTTCATTGTTTACCTATATTTTGAAGTCATCAATCATTGCATATGTATTAGAATATTTCTGATATGTAAAGTATTTTCTGATGTATCATTTTGGCGTTTCACTCTTAATATTACTGCGCTAAGATTTTATTTATTTTATTATTTTTATTTACGCAACGAAACAAAATTTAGTTTTTCTTTGGCTTTTATCTTTGATAATCTTCTAACAAATGTGGAAAAGATAGACTTTTTATATTTAGAAAATTAAATTCAAATAATTTTCTGTTTTACTAAAAGTTTTTTCAAAACTGCTATGAAAAAATCCGACTATAAATTAGTTTAAAAACCTAAGGAGGTTTCGCTATCGCTGAAGATAACAATTTCACTCAAAAGCATTTTCTTTATTTTAAGTTGAACTTGAATTTTCATGATGGATTGGTTTAAATTTAATAGCAAGTTAGTTATATACAATACAGTTGTTTAAATGTTTATAATTATTTTATTAATCATTTAATGAATATTTTTATTTATTTATTATTTATTTTTTATTTATTTTTATTATTAATAAAACGGCCATGCATTTCTCATCTTATAAAAAACTCATGGACTTTTTCAGATCCAAAAAATGATGAATAGAAGTTTAGATATTGCAATTTTAGTTCAACGGTTCCGTCGATTACCTGCTTTGTTTTAAATCTCAGTATCTCAAGTTCAATACAACATTTTTCAGTTCTGAAAGAACCAGTGTATTTATTATAACATAGCTAATGCAGGGCATCAGTTCTGAATTTTGCTGTAACAATTAATAAATTTCTTATAGTCTTATAAACATTTAATTTGTTTATAATTAATTACCCATTCATGTCTGGATAAATCACCATCGCAATTCGTGTAACCATCATTGCTGACGATGTAACTCTATTTGTTCAGGAAAAACTATCAAATAGTGAAACCTTGATGCAACAAACAATGAAATTCTCTAAAAACAAATCACAAGCAATTGTTTTGTTAAATTAGAAAAGTACTAATTATAAAATAGAATTAAATTTTGGTTTCAATGACTTATAAATCAAAACCTTAGGTCTAATCTTCTTTTCATAACTCTCGCGGACATCGCACATAGAAAACTCGGAAAACTCAAAAATACAGCGTATCCGATGTATAACGTACTAGAAACTGGAGAGTCAAAAAATAAATCTTAATTGACACCTTCGAAGCATTTACTAAAGTAAAATTGATTACACCAGTAACGTATACAGCACAATTAAAAATTATAAAATCAAATCTTTGGATGATACAGTCGTCATCTCTAATTTACAAATAGCCACAATAAGTGGTTTTACGGCTGATAGAAATCTTAAAGACATGCTCAACAAATTGCGTAATCATTGAAAACAACGCACTATCACTAAACCTAAGAAGAAAAAAACTAACAACAAACTATGTACATATTAAAACTCTTATCTTGAAATATATCAAAACTATAAATTAATACAAGATTATAAACAAACAAAATTGTCACATGGAAAGTAGAAATAAAAAAAATTTCTAGACACCTTTTTACCAAAAATCTATCTCATTATTAAAAAAATCGATATTAAACCAGACAATATAACATTATAGCTAAGATAAAACATGGATTCAAAATAGAATATGCTACGCAAACCTACTTCATAGATAAAGCCTCATTAAAGCACATGATACAGCAATTCTCTAGCTGTAAACCATTTACATAAACGCCACAAAAACACGAGCTACACTTAAAACAGCTGCAGCCTTATCTAATTAGGAAAAGTGTCTCCTAAAATAGTCCAGGCAATAGAGCCCGAAAAAGAGCGTTTCGCGTACTTTTTTCTGGAAAGCACGAAATTTTTACCGTGGATAGTTGACAATGAGTGTAATAACATATCTTCATCCAAAGTCTGAAATCGGTGCGGAACATTGTTAACCAGCCATTTGAAAAAAAAAAAAATTTATCTATTTTCATGTTTTCGCGTAATATCTTTTTTACTAGCAGTTGAATCGAAAAATGGTTTAATGGTTTTTTGTTCGTCTCAGCACGACCTACAAAAGCATGTGTCGTACGTTAATACATGTTAATTAGATAAAAAGTTATTAACACAAAAAGGCCAATCGTTTATTTAATAATTACCGTTCAATATTTAATCATAGAGATTTTCCATGTACCTCAATGTAGTTATTATTACGTAAAGATTATGAGCTTTGAAGCCGCAAGCTCTAATGTTAATTTCAATGGATACATACGGTTAACAACAAATTAACTGTTTCGTTTTGTCTACAGTCCGAATCGTTAAGCAAAGTGACGCCAATTTTTTTATCGGTACTTGTTAGAGTTTATAATCAAAAACTGCAATTTAAACAAAAAAAAATTTAATTTACGACTCAGGGAATTTTTTCTAAAATATTGCTTAGTTGCAAAATGCCATTAACCGCGTATTATAAAACTTTTCTGGTGTTTTACAATGTATATCGGTAGATGGTCAAAAGAGCTTCAATTTGAAGAAAAACCACATGAAAATTCGTCAATTAATAAAAAAGTTACAGGTTGTTAAAGTTTTCGACTTGTTGTTAAAAGATTAATATAAATAACAAAAAATTTTTTAAGCGATCCGAAGCAGAAAGCCAAGGTTCTTTTAACTGTGAAATATCTAGACTTTTCTTCAATTGTACATGCATTACATTCACGATTGAACGTAAACAGAATTAATGATTTTTGTGGTGGAGGAAGTCGACCACCGTTATTTGGATCGCTCAAAAATTCGCTGAGTGTCTTTAAAACGCATGGCGAGACTTTAACATTACTTTTCTCCCAATCTAAAGAAGATAATTAATTCTTTTTTTTTAATTTTATTCTACTTATTGAGAGAAGTCTGAATATGATCTTTTTAATACAAAAATATTGTTATAAAGCCACAAATCACTTGTATAAAAATCATAGGTTTTTAACATTTAAATTTACAATAACTTTTTTTTTTTTAATTTGTTAGTAATTGTCACCTGTTTTAAATTTAGAAATAAACCAAATGTTGGCAATTAATTTGGTTTTGAATGACAAAGGTCTTATTTTTCTGCTGGCAACGAAATATCATATATTTCCAAGCAGAAAAATAAGACCTATGTCATTCAAAACTAAATTAATTGCCAACATTTAGTTTATTACTAAATTCGCGATCTTCCGTTTTCTAAGTTCTCTATTCCCTCTTTCAGTACCGTGTGCAGAATTTCCTCCTATCTTTTGCTTGATTGCTTGACTAAGGTCATATCTAGATCTATCTTCCAAATAATTTCTCATTAGCTAGCTTTACCTGTATGGCCAACACTTTACCAATTGTCTTTCCCTTTGTAATCATTCGAGCCTATTAAATGAAGAATGTCACCATTTTTTTTATTTGATATATACTCTTGTGTAAGCCATTTTACTGGTCCTTTGTCAGTTTACTTAAATTTATCATATCTAGGACATAAAATTGACTACTTAATGTCTCTGCTAGTCCAGATATTGATTCCTCGTTGAGTTCCGAGGAAAGCACCTTTTCGATCTCTTTAGTAATGGCCTTTTCCAGTTTCCGTTTGCCCGATGGTTTAACACTTGTTAAGGATAATCCAGTCATTACATTTCTGTTGTGCACTTCTGTTGACGTTTGCGGCTTATCGGCCTTACTCTTACTTGTTCGCGAGATTATTGTTGCCCTGGAAACATTTATTTCACATATCCTCTACGGAGACAACTTCTACGTTACATACAGTCCACAGTTAGTCCAATTAGATAAAGCAGGAGCCTAGTAGTGATCGATGTCGAATTTACCGACCATTAATACCGACGATGGTTCCCCTTGTGATGCTTGCAACTGATTGATTTAATTTATCAATTGAATTCAATTGTAAGATGTCGCTCATTGGAGAGTACATCAATGAAAAGCTTGGATGTTCAAAATTAAGTTTCGTTGTTCATTTCACGCTATACGTAGTTCAATTAAAAAGAAATCTTTAAGCAGTCAGAAGTTTAAATTCACTAACAATAAATAGAGATAGTTGTTTTATTTATTAAAGTAATAGTTGTTATATTCATCTATTTGTGCATGTCTCTCTAGTGCAAATAATTATAAATAGAAAGTCGTTAATTGAAAGTCGCTCATCGGAAAGTACATAAATGAAGAGCTTGAATGTTCAAAATTAAGTTTCGTTATTCAATTCACGCTATACGTAGTTCAATGAAAAAGAGTAGTCAGAAATTTAAGTTCGCTAACAATAAACAGAGATAGTTGTTATTTTCGTTTATTTGTGCATGTCTCTCTAGTGCACATAATTATAAATAGAAATAGAAAGTCGTTAAAACTAATTGACAGAAGTTCCTGAGCTATGAATCAATTTGAAAAAAAAATAGTACATAGACAAAGTGTATAAAAATAAATCAATTTAATTTTGATATTAAGAATTTACTATATCAAAGTTACAGTATTTAATTGAATGATAAAGCCATGAACTTTTCGTAATTTTTTCTTATAAAATTTTTAAGGAAATTCCAAAATATTAAAGAAAGCTAGCGTTGTTCTTGTTAATAAACTATACCGAATGATATTGAAAGATATTGGACTCGATTCTGAGGCTTCATGGTATGATGTTATTAATTAGATTGCCGTAGAAGTGTCTCAAGCAATCGCCTATTTTCCGTTTCTCCATGACAAGATTAAGCCTTTTCTATTAGAAATTATTCCCTCTTATTTCTCGGAGATAGACGATATATCCTGCTATATCCTTAGGGCTTCTGTCGATACTCCCTGTGATTTCTTTCACACGCTTTTTCCGTTCTACCTTTTATATTGTTTTATACACTGTACTGTACTTATTACTTTCAATTAAATTTTATATTTGTTCAGATAATAACTACATCTTGTAAGATAGTTTTTTTAAAATAAATAAATAAATAAATATATATATATATGTATAATTATTAATAATGGTTTTTTAATCGATGTCAAAGTCTGCAATTGAAAAACAGCCCCCATATCTAAAAATTCTTGTTCTGAATAAATTTAAACAAAGAATTTCAACATGGAACTTGTAGTACTAATATAGGGTATTAGGTTAATAAATTGTTAAAATATTTCGATCTGATCCGCGCCAAACTAATAGTTTATTAATGTCGCCAAGGTTGTCAATCGTTATACGTATGGTCTTCAGTCATATGTATATGTTGATTAAGTATTGCTGATATGTATATCGTGTTGTTGTTATTTGATATTTATTACTAGGGCTTTTAAAGTATTATAAATCATATATCGATTTTATTTTTATTACATATAATAATCAATCTAATCAAATGAAAAACATCCTATTGGTTTCATTTGCTTTCTGCCTTCCGAATAAAATAGACTAATATATTATTTTACAATTATAACTTGAATTCACCATGAAAAAAATTTGTTAATGTTCAAATTATTGTTAATTTTTACTATAGTTATTATACATAACAAACTAATGATCTTATTACATCAACATTATGGATTTTGTCTTAATTCATAATTTATTTAAACAATTTTTTTATAAATAGTTTTCAAGTTTTCTAATATAGTCTCATGATCTGTCTTTGAGTTTTATAAAAAAATACATACAAAAGAATTCATTCAAAGACAAAATAATACATGCGTTATTATTTTATATCTTCAAATATTCGCTTTGGATTAAAACGTAATCTATGTGTCAAAATTTATACTTTATAAAAATAATAATGTTTTGTAACATTAAATATTCTAAGACTTTGCAAGTTGAAATGCAACATACCTAGAAAACGACATAATAGAAATATCATCTTCTAAATAACCGCAAATCGAACAAGACAATATATAAAATCACAAAAAGTTTACGAGCGACCTTTTCGGTTGTTTAACGCTACAATATTTCTTGATAAATTATGTTGACAAGTCGAGTTATTTGAGTATACATGTAGAGATTGAACAAAGGAAATTATTTACATGCCTTTTCATCTCATCATTTACTGGATGATGTCCAATGTGCCGTGTGGCCAAAACAACTTAATTGCATATAACAATCCTTCTGTTTTCTAAAAATTATTAAATGTGTGAAAATATTTTAAAAAACTATCTATCTATCTATACTTCAAGTAACCATTTTACTTCTCAGAAATATAATTTTTTAATTTTTTGCCGTTATTTTCATATTTAAAATGAACGTATGTAATACAATATGATGTTCAATAGTTTTAAGATTTTGCAGAATTTTGAATAAAACTGATTATCACTTTTGTTAAATCAATAAAACAATAATTCTAATGACGTGATATCTGAGAAGCATGAACATGTGTTGAGAAGAAAGTAAAATATTTGGAATTTGTAGTAGGTCATAATCTAAAAATAAATCGTACAAAGTCGAGGAACTTGAAACTGATTTCTTCGCATCTGGAAATAGTTTGATATTTTTAGTACTACAATTACTTGCTCGCCAAATTTTTTCGAATGATTTACGTTTGATACAGTAAAAATACTTTTTTTATGTCAAAATTTTGTGCGATTTAATGTAATCTAGACGTATATTCATGATATATTTACTTACATAACCAACTAACTTTTCTAATTTACTTTCAAATAATGTTTTTGTCTCATAAGTAAGAAAAAAATGTATAAGAATTGCAGCTTTCACAATGATGCTTTGACATCTTTGAGTGAAACTTGACATCATATTTTGCAATCGTGAGATCAAAGTATTGTGTTGTTCATTTTATTCTAAATCCTCTTCCTCCTCTTCTGTATCATATTCAATTGTTTCTTCGAAGTGCATCGATTTCTGTGATTTCTTTGATGTTTGAGTAACAGATTTGAATGAATTTGCTGTCTGCATAGTGGCTGTCTTTTCAACATTTTCAACGGATTGCGAAGTCTTTACTGATTGTGAAAGAGATTTGATGTTGCTGTTGGACTGTGTCACCAAGCTCGACGAATTGTCATTCACTAATTGAAAAAAAGGGATTATTAGAAAAAATTGGATAGATATTTTTGAAATATAGTAATCTGTCGGAATATATGTTAAGCATTCATAAGGTTACTGAGAAAAAACTTTGAGTTGTTTCATTGCATATTAGCGATTTTCTTACAATCGAAATATTATTTAAAAATTGAAAGTATTCAAGAGAATTATCTATTACAGCTACGGTATATATCAAACAGAGAATAGTATAAGTTTTATTATATTAGAATAAACAACGTCCAAGACGAATGATGTGTTTTGAATGTTTTAAAAATTAACTAAAAAGTAAGAAGAGTTCTTTAACTGACACGAGTCTTAAAACTACTTTACTACTAACTCAGTTATTTTAATGAATAAAATATGTAATTTAATAGTGGAGGCAATATATTTCGAATATAATTCATTTAACTTTATCTCAAATAAGGCATTTATTTCACTCTATTTGAAGTACCTAGGAATGAGATAATTATATTTTAAAAGGTTTGAAATAATTTGAAGATTGAAAATTAAACCAACTGTCAATAGTGAAAAGAAATTGAGTATTTGTAATAAAATTTTAGAAAATAAAAATTGCGTAACTCATCTTAAGAAATGTATAATCAATGTTTATGGCTACACATTAAAGACGTCAAAATCTGAAGAGTGTTTAGTTGTTCAATTAAAAAAATAGTAGTTACCGTTGATTAGAAAAAAGGAATTATTAAAAATAGTTGGATAGATACTTTTGAAATATAGTGATCTGTCGGAGTATACGTTAAGCATTCATAAGGTTACTGAGAAAAAACTTTCTTGTTTCATTGTATATTAGCGATATATTATTGAAAGAACATTTCCCACAATTTCTACGTATACTTTTAGAACAAATCCTATTTCTTATTTTCTTAGTTCGTGCTACTATAGTATAACTTGATGAAAAATATTTTTAAATAACAATGACAATTTTTAAACAAAATGTAAATATAATATTAGAAAAAACATTTGTTCTATAGATAAATTCGATGTGAAAAGATACTCGAACAGATACTTTTGAAGAAACAAACCTACTGACCTTTTGCTACTTCCATGTTGAAAGCTGGTTGACGTTTTTGATGAAGCGCGAAGTCGCGAAATTAGTTGAGAAGCGAAAGTTGACAACTCTATATAGTTGTGTTCACTCTTGAGAAGAGCTCTCACGAATGCGTCGACTGCGTGCATGGCATCCGAATTTTAGCTCGAACAGTAGTTTCTCAGCGTTCGGTGGTGGGGATATTCTCGGGTTAAAACAGACAAAAGCTCTCTGTCCACAAGAAGAAACGTGGGCAGAGAATCGAAGAGAATTTCCCAAATCCCAAGTTCTTTGCCGATATCTGAGGCGCGCTCCAAATCGCCAGTCAATGATCTATCCTCCTTTTTCTCGAACCGCCATTCGGCGCACGTGGCAGCAGATACCGACGCTAGCGTCGTGGAGAATGCGAGCTTCTCACACAAGTGCTCTATTAGAAGGCTCTTCGGCCGTCAAGCTCATTTTTCTCCCTTTCAGACGCGAGCTTGCTTGCATCTCTGCGCTCCGCAGGCAAGGCTCGCGCCTTCCTATCGAATAATTTTACTTTCTCTTTCCCAGCTATGCTATACGTTTTACTTTTTATGCACACCAGATGTTTCCAATAGTTATTCCATTGGAATTTTTCTCAATTAATGCTTGCATCAAATCCTTACCGTATATCATTAAAGCGAATCAATAAGCAATCATATATAGGAACGGAATATTTATCAAATGTTTGAATTCATGTGTCAACAATGACAGTGGAAATAAAGCAAATGGGAGCATTCCCAAAACAACTGGCCTCGAGCGAGACTCAATAATGTTCGATCGCATTCTCATCATTTTCCCATAAATTCATTCGATGCGTTATTGCTTTCGTATCTATAGCAAACTCTGAGTGGGTCAAGTGTAGAATGTTTATTTGCTAGATAAAAGTGTAAAATGCTCCAGTTTATCATTTGAGGTGCATTTATTCAATATACAAGTAATAGACAATATAACAAAGTGATATAAGTCCGATAATGTCGAGACAAAGTAAAGAACTCTTAGAATTATTTGCGAAGAGAGCATTTTACCGGTTTTGCCAATTTTCGTGTTGTGCGCTCGACAGCTACTCCAAGAAATCACTCACTACGTCGAAGCTAACGGGAAAGGAATTCAAGCCAAGAAGCCTCTCGACATCAGTGAGGTTTAGGGCGATGATTTGGGAAAAATTCTTTCTCTTATTTACTTGAACGTTCTGATTGGATGTACCGTATTTAACTTGTTTTTTGAAATAACAGATGTACAAATTTATTTCGTGGACTGATTTTGTTGAATTTTTATATTATTGTATTTTTTCATGGACTTTTCGTCGTGAACTTTCCTATTTCGGTCAATTTATTCGATTTAAATATTTATTTCATAAACTTCTCACAGAAAGAAAATGCGATTTTTCTGCAATAAAAGTAAAACATTACAATATAAGAGATAAATAAATCGTAACACAGCAAGGTTTTAATAGAAGAAATCAAAACAATAGATTTCACACGATCCAATGAACAGGACCTAAAAATAGCAAAGAAACTCGCAGCGCGCATTCCCTCGGTGGTTCATCGATATGTAGTATCTAACTTATTCCTCTCTCTCTCTCTCTCTCTCTCTCTTTCTCTCTCTTCGTCATCGTTATATTTCAGTCATCTGAGAAAAGCTTTGTGACTAACATTGAGTTATTTATCACGTTACTACTACTGAGCACGCTGATTCATATCTGATATTTTCTTGCCAATTTTCGACCAAACTCTGTTTCTATTTACATTTTGGGTGACTTTATCTTCTCAATAAGACTTTTGACGACACAATCTAAATTTATTTCAAAAAAATATAATATATAACTATCTGATTTATACAACGATAATTTAGATTTGAATTAATTGTAGCTAGATTTACGATTATTTTATTCCATATTAAACCATTGTGTTTGTCGAAATAATGATTTAGATTCTTTGCATATTAAATCCAGATGCAAAATATGAAAGTAAATTAAACGTGGGATATCTCTTCAATAAACAAATATTATATTTTGGAAAAAATTTTCAACATTCTTTACTTCGATTTCATAAGTCTGTACTCATTCCATTTCATCCCCTTCAAATGTCATAGCCATATTCTTTTGAATTTTTATATACACAACTGCAATTTCTTCAGTCATTTAATGCCTAACGGAACCGATGTATTACGTATAGGGAAAAATCATACATTTTACTTATCACCTACATCTATGACATATTAACTGTATAACCCTTGAGCTAGTTAGCGTAACGATGATATGTGAATCCCATTATGAGGTGTTTGCATAACTTCATGTTGCAGTCTCACGCATGTAATCAACAGATGCTTTGTATTAGAACTAAGACGAAATCTTTGAATTTTACATTTGGTTGAAGACTAAAATAACATTGCGTAATCGTCTTATGTTGCGATATTTTAAAAAATCGATATATAGTAAGAAGTCTTCTTGATACGTGGAAAAAACTATTTCCAATATGACTATCCCTTTTCATAATATGCCACTATTGCTAAATTTGTTGGTAATATAATGTTACCATTAAGTATAAAAACTCCAAAAACGTTCTACGATATTGAACGTACAGAAAGTTTATATAAGAGTATGACTGCAGTTTGTAGCTATACGAGACCAATGAAAAGTTACGCGGAAGTAATATTTTAGCCAACGTCTCATTAATATTTAAAATTTCACGCATATTCGTAGGAACAGTAATGTATCGGGCGAACGTTCACCCTTTGAAGGTAGCTGCTGCAGTGGACAGGGCGTTGCCGCTGATAGCACCGAGAGTGAAGCTGAGGAAGCCACAAAATACAGAGTAGTCTTATTAGGCGATTCGGGAGTCGGTAAAACAGCTCTCGTGTCACAGTTCATGACTAGTGAATACATGAATACGTACGATGCTAGTCTAGGTAAGCTCAAATTTGGCATGTATTTTTTTTTATTTTTACACAAACAAGTCGACCGTTTCGAATTATTAATAATTATTGATTATCTTATTTACAAAATTTTAGAGATTCACGCCATTATTCTATTTAAACAATAAAGCTCAAAAAGCTCGAGCAGAATGAGGTTTAGCTCGATTTAGTTACGTTGAATCAGACTGGAGCCGACACGGGTTTTTCGAGCTCAAATTGCTTGAGGCCTCAAACCCACACGAACCTTACAAGCTGCTCAAACTTACGACCTCTCGGTCTTATCGAGTTTTATCAAAACTTTTCCAAAATAAGCACATATAATTTTTTTAACTTAACGGTAGTGAGTAGCATTATTTGATCAATGACACCACTATCAATTTTGTATCACTTGTCTCCGTTTTCCTCTTTTATTCGCGTTCACCACGTTCTGACAGCTTGGAGAATGTTCGTTAGGTTTTTCAGGCCGCGCATGCAAGTACATCTGTACTTCCACGGGGATAATTATAAGTGGAGACGATAAAGCGAAATATAAAACGGAGATAGAGTCGGCACGGGGGAGGCATTTAAGCGCGCGCGCGCACACACACACACCCAACCTCTCTCTCTCTCTCTCTCTCTATAGTTTTCCATTAATAAATACATACAGTTAATCATCATTGTCACTGTTTTTATTTCACACATACAACCCTATCTTCAACGATTGGGCAACGTCAAAGAAGAACCCTTAATCCGTCACACTACAACTTGCATGTATTTCCTGTGGGTCATTAAAATAATAATATTATAGATATGAAAAATGTTATTTGAGTGATAAAATAGTATCACATAATACTTATATCTTACATGAGCACCTAAATTTCCTTGGATTGACAAGGAAGTACTTTCTACTCGAAACGAAATGATCATTTCGGCCTTATTCCATCTTTCAATAGTGGATAACTGTTGCTTATATATATATATATATATATATATATATATATATATATATATATATATATGTTATTGAGCTAGCCTGCGGCATACCTGAAAAGAATGTCATCTGAACCAGGATATTTGAATTAAATGTATTTCGAAAAAGAAAATATTATTTTTAATAGAATGCTCATTGTTACTTGTATTGTTCTCTAGTTGAAAATATATCAAAGACACACTTTACCCTTCAGACTATTTGTAATCTCATTGCAGCAGAGCGACAGTTTTTCACGCATATTTATCTTCTCAGATTTATTTCCTCGTTTTCAGTACCATTATGTTTCCTCTTCCTCCAATTCTTAGATAAAACCAATCTTATGATAATGTAAATATCGCGTAATCTTTTGGTACAAAAGTGAAAAAATTCAATTCATTATTATTATCATTCAACGGGAAAAAAGAGAAGTTGATTAAACTTATTAAGCAGATTAATAATCCTTACGAAAATATGAATTCGCTTGCTGAAATTTCAAGCTTATGTCTTATTTATGATGATAAGACCAAACGAATAAAATTTTTCTTATTGTTCGGTTCTTTTTATTCTACCAACAGTTGTTGTTTATAATAACTATTGAAAATAATATATTTTTTGATGATATGTGAAAAGAGTTTCTGATCCATATCATGCTATTAGTTGATTGGTGTTAAAATTGTATTTTTGGTCTTTTGCAGATGACGAATTTGGTGAAAAAACTGTATCAATATTGCTGGACGGCGAAGAATCGGAAATGATCTTTATTGATCACCCGCATATTGAAATGAGTGTAAGTTGTTTTATAGAAAACTTCATAATTCATCGGAGCTTTAAATGATTATTCCTCCATGTTATAGAGCAATTTTATAGAAAAATATCTTTGACATATGAATTTTGAGGCTCAAAGGTCCGCAATACATAATCATCAATTTGTCTTTAGTTGGAAAATTCTCTCTCAACGTACGAGCCTCATGCTTGCGTGGTTGTTTACTCGATAGTATCACGTTCCAGCTTCCAAGTTGCTGAAGAGATGTTGAATTACCTTTGGCGAGAGCATTATACACAAGAGCGTTCAGTAATCGTCGTTGGCAATAAGGCTGATCTTGCAAGAAGCCGCCAGATTAACGCAAGTGGTAAGTAAATTTCTATGATTGAATTGAATTTGATTGCGTCTATTAGAGATTTATTTTATCGCAAACTCTAAAGCCAGTGCACATGCATTATAAAGAATTTTTGTTTATTTTAAGAGGGTAAACAACTAGCTACGTCTCGAGAGTGCAAGTTTATCGAAACTTCCAGTGGCATTCAGCATAACGTTGATGAACTTCTCGTTGGTATACTAAAGCAAATTAGGCTGCGTGAATCACGGGATCGTAAACTTCGCCGCCAAGGCAGCAAAGGCAAGATTATGTCGAAGCTGCACGGAAGCAAAACGGCTCTAAGCCTCAATCTAGCGCGCGAAATACTCAATAAGATGTGTTTAAATGATAGTAAAAGCAAAAGCTGCGAAAACTTACACGTTTTGTAATTCACTTATTTAGTCATTGACACATCAACAAGTTCAGTTATGTATATCTATATTGATATCAACTTTCGTACTATAAACAAATTTCTTCTCAAATAGATTATAACGATTTGTACTTTACACTAAGTGCACATGTACCTTTGACATAACACTGAAATTGCCGATGTAAATAACTATAGGCATTGTCCTAGTAAAACTAACTATTGTTTTGCATATTATCAACACAGCATGCGTGGCTCTTACTGGATGTACTATATCAATAATACACACAAATTCTTAAATCCAAAGTTGTTTGAATTGTGAACAATAAACCATTGAACAAGATGAACTCTGTAAAATTACGTGATTACCCATAAGTTCGATGATGTATTAGTTTTTAACTGTACGCAAATAATAAGACGAGATATTACTATGTGTATAATATAAAAATATATATGACTTAATCTACAGAACAATCGATAGACTCTGAAATTTTTCTATACGGTCCCAACTTTATTGAAAAAAGTCAATATAACTACGTCTCCTGACATTTTCATACAAAAAAATTACACAATCATTGTCAATAAGCGCTGTATAATACAGGTTTAAAATATTGATGTAATATAAAATCCAAAATGTATACCATTTATCGTACTGTAATAATTAATATACCACTGTAACTAACAAAAGACCACCAAACCTGCGAGAAATCGATTTTGACAATACTTTAAGAAAATATTCCTAGAAAAAAATGTAATCCACGAGATTTTCAGTTTTATTTTATAGATCTTTTTACAACTTACGGAGCTTTTTATTTAACATATTGAACAACCTTTTTAACTTTACATAATTTTTTAAGAAATAGAACGCTAAGATCAAATTCTTCCGATTGAAGAAAAATATTCGATGAAATTAAAATTAGATGAAACTAAACTAAAATTGTCCTAGCTTGGCAACTTAACTTGGTAATTTAAATGGTTCAACTTTTTTCAATAACTTTTTTTTGAACTATTCAAATATTTTGGTATCAAAAAATTTGTTAATAAAATCCTTAGAAAATTTTCATAATCGGTACGTTTATTCAATGAAACTGTGTTTTAGTAACTTTTAAACGGTTCAAATACTTTTAATAACTTTTATCAAGCTGTTAGAGACTAATTTAAAAATTATGGATTTCGCTCAACGCAAGGAATAACTTTTGTTACGAACTTAATTACTACGCATAGGACTATTCGATCATTTCTCTCGTTCTATAACTTTTTCCTTCGTACCTACAAATCTTTCTTCACGAACTCACTTGCTTGCATCTCGCTCGTTGAGTTAAACACACGTTCGAAATACATCTAACTAATCTAACTAATTTATTGATTCTTTTTGTAAAGTTAAAGAAGGTATTGATTTTCAATATATTTAATATACAACCCATAAGTTCTAAAAAGAATTTATGAAGTAAAACAGAAAGACACGTGTTTGTTATTTTTTAACAAGAATATTTTCCCAAAGTATTGTCATAATCGTTTTTTTACAAATCTGGTAGTTTCCTTGTAAGCTATAAAAATAACATAAGGCTCAGCGTTTTAATTACTCAAAAGTCTATATCTTATTCTTACCAAATGTAATGTATGATTGTGTATTGCATTAAAACAAAAATAGGTTTTGGCATTTGTGATGAAAATATTACAATATATACAACGTAAATCGTCAAAAAATCGCCAAATAAGTGAATGTTCTATTTATTTTCAAAATACATCTTCTGCATCGTTGAATATTTATCAATATCAGTTTATATTGAAAGATTTCAATTGCTAAAATACTACATACTCAATCTGAAACTTTTATTTTTATAGAGCAATGGTATTAGGCATGATCTATCCACAGGATGGTCATTAGTCTGCAATGCAGTGATTTGACTAATTGTTAGTTGCATAATATTTATTATTGCTGTAGAAAATCTATTGAGTGCAAACACTCAGAGAGTAACAAAATCAAAACAATGTTACTATTGATGTCATTTTTACAGATAATTTTATTCATTCAAAACATGTAATATGAAAAATACAAGATGTTATTAACTCGAAATCATATACATATAACTGTATAAAAATCAGAACGCTGGTTTCGTTCACCCTGGCGCTGGTCGTCTCTCTTGTTATAGACATACTAATAATTATATGTAGCATGTAAAAATTATGATCGATGAATAAATTCGCTCAGGAAATAAAGAATAATTGCATACTACACTTATTAAATCTTAATAAAATAATCTGTCATGCCATTAACTGATTATCACACTGCACAGTATAATAAAAGAACACTTTTAATGTATAAAGACTAATTTCCACAGCAGCTATATTCATCTAAATGTACTTCTATCATTGTATTGTTACTGATATTGTTAGTTCAAGTACTAAATTAATTTTAAACTGCAGAGGTATACAAATTGGCGTGCGGACAATTGTGCACAGTAACAAGTATTTTGCACAGTAAGAATTGGTACACGCTGATTCACGACATGTTATTGTGCATAACAGTTTATGTGCACAATAAAACCGTTTACAATTGTCCGGAAGCCCACAAATTACCTGTACCTATATTAATCTTAGTTCCCAATAATCATTCTAAGACATATAGACTAGTGTTTTTAGATTAGTAAAGTAACCGTTTTTTCAATTGCAGAAACATTTAATTATTATTTTATTATCGAATAAGTGATATATTTTAATTGTTCAGGAAGATAACAAATATGTTAAAGTTATTGAATATAACAGAATAATATTTTAGACATACGTTAAGTTAAAACACAAAAATTATAAATTAGGCATGTATTTAACGTAGTTGAAAATGAAACGAAGTTTTATTTTTGCATTTTAGCTTAGATAAATACTATAAAATGTCAAAAAATTATAATAGTAAATTGATAAGTAGTTACGATAATACAACGTTTGCTTCCTCATAATTTTACAGGATTGATATTCACACATATCAAATTACTCTAGTAAAATGTTACAATAAGTTATAGTAGTTTTGTTCTATTTATAAAGTACAGTTTCATTTTATTATAGTAAAAATATAATTATAAGAGATATGTTAAATCTGTCGATTTTCATAACTGTTAAATTATTGTATTCACAAAAGAGATTATAGAAAATCATACTTTTCTGAATATAAACTAGGAATGCTTCATATTTATTGAGCGAAATAAACTTATTTAGTTTTATAAAATCACAATGCACAGCCCTTAAGTTCTGATATTTAAATTTAATTTTAATTCTTTATGCTATCCAGAAGAAAACATACTTCCCGTCTCCATTATTTATCTACTACTCTTATTTTTACGTCAGCTATCGAATGATAAAGTTTAATAATAAATTTTATGTCAAATGAATTTTCAGAAGTAACTATATAATATTACTGTCACTCCATTTTGATTATTATTTTCATTTTCACCTTGAAAATATGTTTAAAGTTATTCAAGTTCTTTTAAATTTAATAATTACAAATTCTAAAGTAAAAAAATTTTTATAATTGTTTCTTATTACTTACTAATGTTCTTTATAACTCATTATTTTGTATGCATATAGAAAAGAGCTATTGAATATAGTTCATGTAAAACCTAGTAATATATAATATGTTACATATATGAATCATTAAAAATGAAATGGCATACAATCATCGAATTCATAGAATAACGCCATATCCATACTAGTATTTAATATTTGTCATTTCATTATTCTCTAGGTGTATATTAAAAATAATAAAAACTTTAAGGATAAAGCCTGCAGATAATTAGCAGTAATGAGCAGATATATTATTTTCTAATATTAAAATATATATATTGAACTTTCTATTTTTTGGTATAATTATTACAGAAACAGAAATATTGAGTTGAGGCGAATGGGAATAAATACAAAAATTATAAGTGAACTCAAATTTAATGTTATCGATCACAGATACAAGCTAATTTAATAGTAGAGTGAATTACAAGAAAAAAGAAAACACGCGTTATAAGCTAATTTAACACCAGATGATTTAAATGAAATCGAACTGTGTAAATAAGTAACGTTACAGAAGTTAGAAAACGAAATTCTTTTACATACCAGGCGCTCCCCTCTCCTTCTGAGATCTATGAGATCAGGCGCCCCCGCCGCCACCCTCTCTATAATCTAAGGCGTATGAGCTATAAGATCAGCACTGTTAGATCATGCGCAAGAGTCCCCCTAATGTGAAATGCGTTTTAAATATTAAAATTAATTTATGTATTTAATTGAATTTAATTAATTTGACGCAATTGATTTACGTGTAATGCACAGATTTAGTGAAAAAAATGAGCAGACACCACGGGGAATTATCTCGCGTCCTATGGATCGATAGACCGCAGCCTCTAGCAAGTGAGTCACGGCTGCTTTTAGCTCTTAGTATCTCTTATTGTGTATATTAGGTAGTCACAACCAAAAAGCGACTGGACTACGCCCCCCCCCCCCGCGACTTCATCCGTATATGTGCACGTGTTTTAAGATCCCGCGTTATCGTGTATGTGTGTGTGTATTTGAATGCATATATTCATATATATTGTTTTTGATATATGCATATAAACTGATTATTAATTGATGAAATAGTGGAGTAGAGGAGGGAGGTAATAGTAAATATACACATTGTTTTTCCTTAAATAAAATTTTTTTTAATGATAAAAAATAAATCTTATTCTACAAGTCATTTACATTAAAAGAATATTCATAGAAATCCTTCAATAATTTAATCGTTTTCTTCCCAATTCATGCAGCAACCATTTAAGTAAAACTTTTTCATAAATTTGACATTTTAATGTGCACACGTCGTTACGTATTTACCGTTATGATTAGGACACATAGTAACTGATTTCATATTTTCAAAAAGGGAATATTCTGAATCGTTCATTGGTCCACTAGTCGAGGGTGGGGGTTATGCAAGAGCACTGATTTTGTTGCGCGCATAAGTTGAATATAATTAGTAGTGGGAGTAGCTAAGTCTAAGGGGGATTGTGCGGAGTAGCTTGGCGTGGGTATATTAATGTGTTCTTAGTCGTGCGTGCGCTTTTCACGCAGCAGGCAAGACATAAACCTCAGTTTAACGGCTTTTCACACACAGCAGACCAGTCGTAAAACTCAACGAACAGGCCATAGCTGGTATAGCTGCAACGATTTGAACGGCTCTTTTTGTGAGGACCGTTTTTTCAAGACAATCGCACAGCTATTCCAACGTTCAATTAAATATAAAACAGCACTTTTCAGTGCTAAATGACGTATGAAAAAATATTTGTTGAATAAATAAACGAATTATATTTTAAAAATGTATTAAATTTTCCATAAAACAGCACTTTTCAGCGCTAAATCAAAAAAAATTATTAAAAACTTTGTTTAGTGTTTTTTCTTTTTCCCAATCCAATTTGCAGCAAAGTCAATAGGTAAGTATAAGGTAGGTATTTTTTAAATTAAGTTATATGCGCTATTTCTTTTTCCTATACAGTTTATAGCAAAGTCAATAGGTAAGTATAAGGTAGGTATTTTTTAATTACCGTTTCGTTAAAAGTCTGTCTTATTTTTACAAAAAATTCTAATTACATATACATAGCCACAAATTAAATTTTTTGAACAATCTTTACCTATTTTTATAGATTTAATTATAGTACAGAATATGAATATTTATTAGAGATGATAGATATTAAGAATACAAAATGCGCATAGTGACTAGTACTCTCTGAAAGAATGGCTACAGTTCAAGCGGCATAGCATAGTCGGGCGAACGCATGAGGAGTGCGAGTTTGATTCCCCCCGTAGTATTGATATATATTTTTTTTATTAATATTATAATTGTAATTAATGATAGATATTGTCTTATTTTTAAGAATTATTTAAATATAATTAAATATCCAAATATCTTTTTCCTGTTAGAGATTTAATCGATCGTTCTTCAAATGGAAGGGTATAAGGATATGACTATCATGAAAGAATAAGTTGATATATTATAAAAAAATTTCAATTTATTTGTTTATATAAAGAGTGTGGTTACTGCATGAAGAAAAAGTTTGATTTGATAGTTTCTTGAGTGAAGGATAACCCAAATCTTCAACATTGATCACAGTTGTTCTTTAAAAAATAAAATAATATCATATATATATATGACCCTTTATATGTGTGAGAAAGAATAAAATTATTTTGCATTCGTCAGTAAAGACCTTAATTAATTTGCTTTTTCGTAGCCTTTAACAAAAATAGTAGCTCCAAAGAGAGTTTTTCTCATTATTTTCGAAAGCTCGTCGTAAGGTAAATCGCCACATTCCCAGGGAATGCTATGAAAGTTCTTCAGCAGCCAACGATTTTCGGATTGATTTTTTTTCAATAACCAGCTCCACGGATAAGGTGGTTTGAATAGAAATATAGAAGGTGTTGCATCTTCTATAGAAACGATGGCCACCTCCTTGAACACAAATTTATTCAGGAAAGTCTTGAAGCCTTATACGTCTACGACAAACTCCATCTTGACTGATTAAACATTAAACACTTGAATCAGCGCCTTTTTATACGGCATGCTCATATCACTCATTTTCCCACCATTTTTTTTGTTGACAAATACAATTTCTTTTTCCGTTAAAATAATATTTCTTGATCCCCCCCCCCCCCCCAACCCACCCCCACCCATAATTTTTAACCAACCTAATTCGCTGACTCCAACCATAGTGTTTTTTTATAACCAATCAGATTCCACTAGTCTTGAATAAAATGTCATTCAGTTTGCTAGATTTGATCAGTAGTTGCTCGCTTGTATCAGCGTGAACTGTAGTGAAATATTATTCACACGTCGTTACAATTCTACATCATGGCTCAGTATTTTAAGGACACTGCTTCAATACTTTTGCGCGCATATCGCTTTACGAAGGCTGGTGATGCTACCGTTGAAGATATCGAAAGGTGGTTGACATTGGGTTCGTTTGCTTTGCAGAAAGCTGAGAAACTTGCTCAAACGTCAAACTGAACAGTAGCTAATAGACATAAATTGCAGGCAGCTATGTGTATTATTAAAAGTGTTTTACATCTACTCAATGTTTATAAAACTAAACTTGAGGCGCAGCCCGTTACTACGCAACTTAATGCTGTAATATCGTGTTTAGAAGCTGGGGCCTCGCAATCATCATCATCAGCATCATCATCATCGGTACACGAACCTTCGAGTGTGGTTGGTACTGGTGTGGAAGCATTCAATGCTCCACGTACAACGATAAATGTAGCCGAAGATGCAACAGTTCGTTGGAGTGACATTAACAGTGCTTTCAAAGATAGAATAAAGACTGGTGTAATTACCAATCTGAAACATTTAGATTTGGCTACGTTTTTGAGATATGCCAAACGACTGTTTCAAGCTCAAATCGATGAAGCTGTGAAGCGACATAATTCTATAAAAATGAATGCTGTACTAAATGCTGAGTATGTAGTTATGAAGAATGACGTGGAAACACTCGATGTAAAGCATGTCAATACTAAGATGATGCCAATATACATAACTACGAATATAA